TGGGGATAATTCCTTAACTTTGGCACTCTTCTCTTCACGCAATCGCGTTCGTTTCTCGTATCACGTCTGCTTTTGCGTCTTCTAGGGTTTGCTTAATTTTTGTTTTTTCCTTTTAATAAAACAAAAAAAAAATCTTCTGGGTACGAAGGCGAAAGAAGGGGGGATATTGATTTGGTTGAATATTTATTTTTTTCCTTTTTTCCTTGGGAAGGATATATAAGTGCTGGATTTGGCTTAAATTTGGAGAATTTGAGGATATATCGAATTTGAGCTGACTCTGGATTATGATTTTGTGCGTCTCCTGGTCGTAATCAGGTCCTTTACATCCCAAAGCTAGGAGATTTGGCAAGGGTTTTTGATAAGTCCGGATTTTGGTCAAGGATCGAAGATATAGAAAGTCTCCTTCTTCTACAGATTCGCGGTTGGGATTTGAATTAGAGAGCTTTTGATTTGGCTGCTTTGCCTAATTAGTTTGGCGAGTCGTCTTTAATTTGCTGGGATACGGATTTGGGCTCTTTGGTTGTTACGATGAGCGGAAGCTTCACTGAGAGCTTCGCCGATTCCGGCAAGCTTCTTCTCTGTGTGGCTGAGAACGGCCACTCGTTTGAATTCGAATGCAGCGAGACAACTTCAGTTGAATCCGTGATGCGTTTCGTCGAATCCGTTTCCGGCATAGGCTTCTCCGATCAGCTTCTTCTCTCTCTCGACATGAAACTCGAGCCGCAAAAGCTGCTCTCTGCTTTCGGGCTTCCCGCAAGCGACCGAGAAGTGTTTATCTTCAACAAGGCTAAGCTGCAGAGCAATTCTAATCCGCCATCACCGGAAGATGTAGATTTACAGGAAGTTGATGATGCTTTGGCACAGGCTTCGTTGCGTGACCACCATCCTTTAGATGATGCGTCTGATCCAGCTTTAAAGGCTTTGCCTTTGTACGAGAGGCAGTTTCGATACCATTTCCAAAAAGGCCGGTCAATTTACAATGGTACGGTTGTGAAGCATGAGAACTGCGAGAGGTTGACGAGAGAGCAGAAGGTACAGCAGCGGGCTGTTGAAGTTGCTACGAGGAACCTGGAGCAGTATTACAGGGTGATCTATCAGAACTTTCTTGAATTTATGAAGCGTTACAAGCATCAGCACCGTCTTCACTCTGATTTGCTGATGAATTTTGGGAGGGATGTTGAGAAGTTGAGGTCGGCTAAGATCCATCCTTATCTGCAGACTGATTCGAGGAAGTGCTTGTTGGACTTTGTCAAGGAAGATAACCTCAAAAAGGCTGTGGAGAATTGTGCAAGCTCTCACAGGCAGTTTGAGAATAAGATTGCACAGTTCCAGCAGATGTTTGTTGAGGTCAAGCGCAAGGTGGAGGAGTTGTTTGCTTGCAGGGCTTCCTTGTCGATGAAGAGCTTAGAAGTGGCTGTTAAGGATCACGAGCGCTTCATTGATGAGCAAAAGAGCATAATGCAGTCTCTCAGGTTTGTTCATTTCGTAAACTGGAAATTTACTGTTGTTTCGTATTCAAACGGTGAATTTTTTTCCCTCCTTTTAATCTGACGGTGTTGTATGAATCTTGAAACAGCAAAGATGTCAATACGGTTAAGAAGCTTGTGGATGATTGCATGTCTAGCCAAGTGTCCTCATCTCTCCGACCTCATGATGCTGTTTCAGCGCTGGGTCCTATGTACGAAGTGCATGACAAGAATCACCTTCCCAAAATGCAGGCTTGCTACAACTCCATTTCAGAGTTGCTGGATTTCTGCAAGAACAAGAAGAATGAGATGAACAACTTTGTACACAGTTACATGCAAAAGATAACATACGTTACATATATCATCAAAGATGCCAAGTTACAGTTTCCTGTTTTTCGAGAGGCAATGGTGCGTCAGGATGATTTATTTGCAGACCTGAAGTTAGTCCGTGGTGTTGGCCCCGCTTATAGGGCCTGCCTCGCTGAGGTGGTGAGGAGAAAAGCTTCTATGAAGCTTTACATGGGCATGGCTGGACAGTTGGCAGAGAAGCTTGCTATGAAGAGGGAAGGAGAGGTCAGGAGACGTGATGAGTTTCTTAAAACGCATGGTCCCTTTGTACCACGTGACGTGTTGGCTTCCATGGGTTTATATGATACTCCTACTCAGTGTGACGTCAATGTCGCTCCTTATGATACTAGTTTACTCAATATTGAGATCGCAGATGTTGATCGATATGCTCCCGAGTATCTGGTTGGGCTACATTCAAAGGTTGCATCCTCAAGGAGTTCATTGGCCATGTCTAGTGATAGCTCGCTTTCTGCTGAGCCTGAAGAGATTGGTATAGAAAGTTTGGACAAAGACAACTTTGAGGATATCCTAGCAGCCTCTGAATTGTTAGAGATAGCTGGAACCAGCAGGATGGAAGTTGAGAATGCAAAACTAAAAGCTGACCTTGCTTCTGCAATCTCTCGGTTATGTTCATTAGGCCCACAAGTTGAATATGATGTTCTGGATGAAAGCGAAGTAGAAAATTTGTTGAAAAATGCTGCAGAGAAGACAGCAGAGGCATTGCAGGCCAAAGACGAGTATGGCAAACATCTTCTAAATATGCTCAAGGAAAAACAAATGCACTGTGATTCATATGAGAGGCGTATCCGTGAACTGGAACAAGGTCTATCTGATGAGTATCTACAGGGACAGAGACATGTTAGTAATAAGGATGCGTCTGGCTTAAATCTTATGCACGGAAAAGTTAGTGAATACAAAGCAGAACCTTCAGGTGAGGTGGATGGCAACAAAATTCATGTTTCTGGTTCAGAGCCTATGGATGAGGTCTCTTGTGTTTCAAATCTTTCTAGCAAGCAGCCATGTAAAGCTCGGGAAGGTATGGATGAGAATATGGTGGATTCCTCTCTGTTACTCAGTCATCCACTTGACTCATCGATGCTTGAAAGTCAGCAAAACAACGAGAAAGGTGGAAAGGATAATTTGGGGGGAGAAATGGGTATGTTTCTAAGTAACAGTTCGACAGCTGAGAGCCCACCAAAATCTTTGGATGATAATGTGGCAACTGGCAGAGGTTTAAATGCCACACACAGTGATGATGTTGTCATGGAACTTAGAAACGAGCTGATGGAAAAGTCCAATAAGCTGAGTGAAACAGAGTCTAAGTTAAATGGTGCTCTGGAAGAGGTAGGCAGTCTAAGCAGAGAGCTGGAAATGAATCAGAAGCTTCTTGAAGAATCTCAGGTTCGTCAGCTATTTCGTTTTTTTGGTCTTTCTAATATTTCTAACTCTGATATTTGTTCATTGCATTGTTTGCTTGGGAGCTAGCGTTTACTTTTTGCTATTTGTTTGTAGATGAATTGTGCGCATTTGGAGAACTGCTTACATGAGGCAAGGGAAGAAGCTCAGACCCATCTCTGTGCTGCTGATCGTAGAGCTTCTGAGTATAATGCACTTCGTGCATCCGCCGTGAAGATGCGAGGTCTCTTTGAAAGATTCCGGAACTCTGTCTGTGCAGGTGGTGGAGTTGTTGGTTTTGCTGACTCCATGCGTACTTTAGCTCAAGCTTTAGCCAAGTAAGTTCCTGTTTGTACCGTTACTTCCTAAACAACATAACCTTAGTCCTTCTTTTCTTGTTTCCATGGCCTAGCAATCCTTTTTTAAAGCTTGTTTCTAAATATGTTCCCTGTGTTTGCATTTCTCCTACTTGGGAATTTCACAGCTCCATTAATGACAATGAAGATGATGGTACTACTGAGTTCCGGAAATGCATCCGAGTCCTGGCAGACAAAGTTAGCTTCCTCTCCAAACACCGGGAGGAATTACTTGAGAAGTGCCACAATCTTGAAGCTACGAGTGAACAGACCAGAAAGGACTTGGAGGAAAAGAAAGAGCTGGTGAAAACACTGTACACTAAGCACCAGCTTGGGAAACAGGTAGACTCCTCTCATCTCTCTAATAAGAATCATTTGTTCTTGCAGCATGTACTTTTGTTGTCAGGTTGCATTCCTTCTCTTAATTTGGATTGTCCTCGGTTTTGAATGAGAAATTTGGTGATTTTTGTGGACAGGCAAATAAGGAAAAGATATCATTTGGTCGTCTTGAAGTCCATGAGATAGCAGCATTTGTGCTAAACCAAGCAGGGCATTACGAGGCAATCAACAGGAACTGCCCAAACTACTACTTGTCCTCTGAATCAGAGGCACTCTTCACAGACCACCTCCCAAACCGGCCTACATACATCGTTGGACTGATTGTCCACATCGAGCGCCAAACAGTGAAGCAGCCATCACCACTTTCAGCCTCTGCATCTCTCGAGGCGGGTAAGACGGATTATCTCGGCTCAGAGCAGGGCTCTAGAACGCTGGCATCAAGTTCGATCTCAAAGTCGTCTTCTGCACCAACAACAACAACATCAAACCCTTATGGTCTCTCTTCAGGATGTGAATACTTCATAGTGACAATAGCAATGCTTCCTGACACTGCTATTCATCAACAAGCTTCCTGATCCTTTTGCTTGTTCTCAAGGCAGATAGATGTGATGGAAGAACCTCCCCCACAACAAAAAGAAGAAAATAAAAATGTAAATACTTTTAATTTAAATAACAATCAAGAACCAGACCGCCCCCTTTGTATGATTTGTGGGTGTTGGGTTTCATTTCTTTTCTTTTTTATCTATATATATTTTATTTCATATCTTCCTTCTTTCTGTACAGCTGATGATCACTGATCTTAGTTTAATCTCTTATCCTTGTAATTACTATGCTGTAATAAAAGAACCAAGATAAATTTATGAAAAATGATAAAAAGTTTTAGGATAAATAATGGAGTGTCTACGACTCTTAGACTGCTCTTTTATTGGTGATAATCTTCACAAATTCAATATCAAAACATGTTTCTTCAAATCCCTGAAGGGTTTTAGTAACCAAGAGATAAATTTTTGATTTACAAGAAAAAAAACAGAAAAGCTACTAGAGATGAGGTTCCTATACTTGCCAAATCCGGAAAACAAAAGCAGTAATCTACAAATTATCTATTATATGCATCACCATCTTCTTCTGAAATGTTGGACAAGAACTTTGGCAAGGATGTGATCCGGGGCAGGTGCAATAGCAAATCGCTGAATGAATCTTTCCTCAAGATGCCCTGTGGTTTGCTGCTGGAAGCTGGATCAAGAACTCTGTTGTTGTAGTTGTTGTTGTTGTTGTTGTCAGACACCATTCCCTTCAGGTCACTGGGTTCAGACTTCAATCCAACCGAGGTTTCGGAATTCAGCTGTGAGTTTGCAGCGACGTTCGGATCCTTGTACAAGAGGTTGAATAAAGAATTAACCCTTGGCATGAGAGACTTCTCATCTGCTGTATCGAACTGGATACTGTCACTTAGCAACTGCTGTTTCATGTTCTCAAATTGCTCCACATGTTCCGGATAAATTCCACCAGCAGTATCAGAGAGAAGTCCAACAAAGTCGCTCACCGACATGGATTGTTGAAGTCCAGGTACTTTTATCTGACTCGATTCCGTTATGTTTCTTGAATCAGATAGCATTGCAACGAAATCACTCACTGACATGGATTGGCGCATTCCAGCTACTTCTTCAACCTGACTCGAATCCGTTGCGTTTTTTGGATCATTGAGAAGTGCAAGGAAATCGCTCAGTGACAAAGACGGCTGTAGACCAGCTACTCCGGTCCGACGACAATCCATTGTGTTTCTTGAGTTGACTACTTCAGCACCCCGACTTCCTTCATTTGCGCGAGCATCTATCACTAGAGATGAATGAAGCAAACAAGCAGAAAAATAAAATACACACAATATTAATTTGGTTTGATAGAAGTGAAGGAGCTATGAAATAACCAGAATGTGCAGTTACTACAATACCTGAGCTGGGAGATGGTGCTTCATGAGACAGATACATGTGTTCAGATGATGACTGAGGTCCAGCGGGAGATGCTAAATTATGAGTCCCAGAGATTGAAGGACCTGTGTTAAGCCCATAAAGATGGCCTTTGGATTCACTTGGATCCTCAAAAATAGATTGCCGAGAATCAAAGAAGGGAGAGTCCACAACCATCTCCGGCTGTCTGCTCAGATGGAACAGGCGATGATCACATTGAACGAGCTTTTCGAAATGTTTGTTCATTATCCCTTGAGCACATTGCAGGAAATGCTGCCTAAGAGACCACAGGAAAACTATCGTTAGCTGAAGCTGGGGCATATAAATTATGCTAATTTTCAATTCTTATGAGATGCTTTCCTCCTAAGAGCAGAGGACACCAGAAATGTATGTACCTGTTCATGCTGGCTTGGCCATCGGTAAAATCTGATGTCGCCTGCCACAAAGTATGCTTTCTAGGCTGTGGGTTCGTTTCCCGGAAAAACAAGGGCTGCCTAGCAAGCTGAAACATAAAGAGACCAGAGATTAAAGTTGAACAAGAGCATTATTGATTGAGCGACTGAAACAAATAAATAACATGAGTGAATCTTGTACCACGAGAGTCAATGTTCCAGGTCCATCTTCAGGACAGTTTGCCTTCAAAGCCATGATATCTGACCATTGGATCTCGATTTTACTCTTGAGACCTTGTTCCAACACTTCCCAAACAAGTTTGTGTTTTGCGAAGTAGCACTTTGCCACCAAATCACCTTCATACCTTGATTTATACTACCAACAAATAACGAAACCAACTCAAGTCAGATACTGAAAGCAACATGAAACATATATCAAAACAAAAAACAAAAATTGTCTCAGGTCTCACCTCCCACTGCCCGATCTTCAACAGCGTAGCAGGAAAGTTGGAAGCTTTCAGTTTCTCAATGCTTCCTGGCGCCAGAGTCGCTCCAACTGATGCAGCAGTAATACTTTTACTTTCTCTCTTGAGACCAGAGCCAACAGCACCGACATGCAGCGTCTCCGATTTCTTCTGGTCACCATTTTCCGCCAGTCTCCTCTGAATCAGCTCTAACAGAGACGGACTCTTCCTAAGGCTCAGTCCAAGAGGACTCGGCTCATCAAGCGGGTTATACTTGGCTGGTGCCATTGACAATGAGCTAGTCCCCGAGCTCCATAACTGTTTCGTTGCAACAATAATCAAAACAAAGAGATCCAATCAGGAAAATATATCCATTCACCACATAAATACCACAAATAAAACATCCAGAAAAGCACAAGAGAGCATCGTATAACAAGCTAAAAGAGCAATTTTCAATATAAAAATCAAAACGACAATCAGATCAATAAACCATTCGTACGGTATTTTTCACCGTTTCGAATTCGCTAAGAGCCAAATCCTCATTATAGAAATGTATCAATCTGATTGAAATCAAATTCTCGTATGAGCTAAACAGATCATATAATCTGAAATTAAGAGAAAGAACAAACCTTAGATCGCTTGTTAAGAGGACCGTGCGCTTCTTCCAAATCATCCTCCACGATCTCCAGCTTCACCGGTAGCTCATCTCGGCACTTCGCCGCCAATTCAGACTCCGGTCTAATACCCCCAGATTTCCTCATTTCCACCATTCAAAAACGAAGCCTTTCTCCCGGATAAAACCCCGAAATCAGATAAATTCGGAATAACCAGCTGACGAAATCACGAAAACAAAGAAGAAGAAAAGAAATTTGAGATTTTTCACAGAGGATTATCTGGAACGCGAAGGAGAATCAGCAAACCCTAGAAATTAGAGTAACAATTAGGGGATCTCTTTCTCTCTCTCTCTCTCTCTATTTGATTGAAAAGAGGATTCTCCTGGCGGCTACCGACGCGTGTACCCCGCGATTGTATGCCCACGCGCCATCGTTATTTGACTAAAAAGGAAAGTTGGGGTGCGCGAAATTCCCAAAGTAGCCACCTTTTATGGTTGTTAAAGAAGGATAGTATAGTCATTTACATATGTCGATTAAATATAATAGTTAATTCGCTGGCGACCAGCCAGTAGTTCTTGGTGGGTCCCATATTTGCTTATTCTTGACGGCTATAGATAGAGGATTTGCCACGTGTTACTCGTTATGTAATTAAAAGAAAGTTACTTTATACTTTGATCGTATCATCATTTGTCATAACCCAATCTCATAACCAAAAGAATCTTTTTTTTCACCAAATCGTTTAAACATTTTTCCTTCGGTTGAAAACGTAGTGATTAGTCTAACATGATGGTGTAATCGAACAATTTTAAAATTACAATTATCTGCTTCCACAAACTCTTACATATGCTGTGCATCCAAATCAGTTACTTCTCGATATATTGGGTGGGTCTTATATTTGATGTTCTAGTGGCGGCTATAGATAAAGGATTAGCCACGTGTTAGTCGTCTTCACTCCTTACTTAATTACTTAATTACTCATTTATGGTCGTCACTAGTCAACAATGTTTTCTTTAGCCACTTATGGTAATCAAGCTTAAATTAAATACGAGCTTATCTTAATCCCTTTGCCGATGAAATCAGCTTTTTGTTATTTTGCCAAAAAAGTTGAGCAGAACAAAAAGTGGTAGCATATATGGTTCCTTTTTGAAAATGTTGAATTGAACAAAAGTCTTAGCTCCGATCTTGATTTCCAATTTTAAATGTGGTTGAGGATTGAACAAGGTTTTAAATTTCCTTTAAAAAGAAACAGAAAATGGAATGAAATTTCTTGAGAGTCTGTTTTGAATTTAATAAGAAGAAATTATAAAAAGCTAAAAACAATTACTCGTAAAATTAACATTTTTTAAGAAGATACAAATCTGTAGAATTGGAGCATACTCGTTTCTAATTCTTATTTTTAGTTGAATTTTAAACATATTTTTGAATGAGTTTAATTGCAAGAATCATAGTCGTCTTTGCCACGTCCCATATTTAGGCTACATCCATCATGTATTATAGAAACTAAAAATACTCTTATCGTATATTGATAATAGTTATTTCAAAACTTATATATAATTCCTCGCATTTTGTGTTGGTTGGTATATGCTTGAAAATGAATTTGATCTTGATTGCAAAAAAAGCTTGAAAATGATTTTGATCCAACGATATTCAATGTCATAGGTCCTGTATCTACGGACGTCCCTCTCCTATGGAATGGCAAATGGAGAAAGAAAAGAAACAAAATGACTATTGGCTATTCTTGTGATCAAAATTATAAGTCACACACAAACAAAACAGAAATACCCTCTTGTCTTTTCTTTTTCCTCATCGCTCTTTTTTTTTCTCTTGTGTTAATTCTTGTTTCAAGATAATCCTCATCAACCTCATTAGAATAAACCAAAAAAAAAAAAAAATTGAAAGAAGAAGAAGAAGAAGGAGGAGGAGAAGTTTGTAGATGGAGGATGATATAGTACCCTTAAACGTTCCTTGATCTTTCTTCATATTTTTGAGATCGATCTTTAATTTCTTTAGAAGAGTTATAATGCCTGTGCCAGATCCACGGGCGGGGCAGGCATTCATCTGTCTCATTACCTTTTTTCTTTTCCTAACAATCGCTGTTGGAGGTGGTTGCTTAATCGCATACACAATCCTTCCTTACCCTCCAATATGGCTCTCATACCTCGGCATCTTCTTTGTTTGTCTCCCTTGGTTCTTCTGGATCCTAACCTTTGCATACCGCATCCTTTCACGCACTTTTGGATTTAGGATGGTTGTTGGATCCGGTGGTGGTAATAATAACAACAACAACGGGAATGGAGAGTCCATGCCACAAGATGTTGACCCTCCTGACGAAAGTTTAGAGCCTCCTGGTGATGATCCAGAGGCAATACCTCCCCCACAAGGCCAAGTTCTAGTGTCGGTTGAAGGGAATCAATCCAAGAAACGAATGTCAACTTCCAGCAGTTCTACTGTCAATTCGCATGAAAGTGAGATGCCACTAGCCATTTCTATGGGCTCATGATGATCATATGTATGTGTATAATGTATTGATACAAAAAGGGATCCTGCCATAGACAGCATCAGGACGGAGATGCTAATTATTAACCAGATTTTTAGCCTTTTGAAAACATGGGGCAATTTTGGTTTATTTCTTTCTTTTTTTTGTTCATTTTATTTTGTATCTCATACAGATAGATTTGTAGATTCGACAAAAGAACTTACTGCCAAAAGTTTTCTCTCAAAACCAAGAGAGAAGTGTTTGTTAAAAAGGGGTACGTATAGCTAGTTTTGAGACGTTTTTGGGGTGGCCCATGCGTAATGCAGAGTTTATAGGGTAGATCAACATCTAAGTTTCATGAAGTTTCTGTAATTTTTGTATATATCTATTACTAGTTTGGTAATATAATCTCGAAGCCCTCGATTTTAGGGCTAGCACTTTTCAGGATCTTAATTTGACGTAGAAGCCAAGTTATCAGAATGTTGGCTGCCAAATGCGTACGAGCCAAGTTATCTTGATAGTCGAGTACCAAATGCTGGCATCTGCAAATTGGTCCCTTTACTGATTTGTTTACGATGTGATGAATCTGATGATGGTGAATCCAGAATCTTACCATTTTTGTTTACAATGATATCCAGTGTTCAATGCAGTTTACTTTTAAATTGCTAAAAGTTCAATAAACGCTCTAATTACATATCTTCATCTTAATTAAAAATTGATGAAATTCGTTGAAAAAATATGGAAAAACAAAGATTTTCATTTCCTTGTAAAATTTGGTTTTTTCTTCTTTATGTAAACTGCAAAAATAAAATAAAACCTCACACAAATAAAATAAACCCTAAACCTGGTAATCCCAACTAGTGCAACAATGGCCGCAAAAAGGCAGAATCGACAGCTACCCGACGATCTCGTAGAGGAGATACTCGTGAGGCTTCCCGTAAAGTGACAGCTATCCAGTCACGCTGTTTCGGTGAGAGACTCTGTTTGAAGCGATCCCAGAATCAGCAACCGTCCATCTTTGTGGTTGAAGGGGCTTCGTTCCAAAACATCCCATCTCCGTTCCAGCTTCAGCTTTTTCTCAACGACGAAGAAAGACGACAACAACGGAGCCCGAACGTTTACTATTTAGTGTTGACGTCTAATTCTGGAGTAGAAGAAATCTTCGATTTTAGGGCTGACACTTGGCGTATCACAACATTCACAAGACCGACCTAAATCAGATGCATTAATTAGCTTTCAATCTTCTTAAGCAAGCTTTCCATGCATGTTTAGTGTTTTTGTTGTTGTTCATCTTGTGCACTTTCTATGGGTATGGCAGATGAATAGCAAAGCCTTCAATCTTCTCAAGTAAGCTTTTCTTTTCGGATGCATGTTCACTCTTCTTTTCTTTGTGTTAATCATGTATTAACAAACTATAATTTGCAAAAGCTTCACTACCAGACCAATGAAGTTATATATACCATCACATTCAGAGGGCTAAACAATCAACTAATTTCTTGAAACTTAACATTGGATCGAGCATAAATTCCAGGTTGCTTCAATGCTGCGAGAAGAAGCATTTCCAGTGATTAGGAAATCTTTCGACGCAAGGAAGGTAGGTTTCAGTTTGATTCCACATATAAGATTATATAATATTATAGCTCAAGGTGAGTAAAATTTTAATCTTTTGTTCAGGTTTTGAAAGAAGCCCAAGTTTGTGTATACTGTGGATTTGGATGTGTAAGCTTCTTGAGTTAGAGCCTCGTGCTCCATGATGTCATATTTCGGTTAGACCCCAAGATTGGCCTTGTTGAACATTTATCTCCGGACAAGACCGATTCAGGTGACTTAATCAGTGTAGCAAACGATTGTAAAAGATCCAACGAATAAAAAGAAAAGAAACATATCTGTAGTTCAAAAAACTTTTCCTTTCCATGCAAAAGTAAGAAAAAAACCTCACACATAATGCCCAAGGCCCAAATAGAAATTATGATTTTCAGTTTATCTATAAAATTAGACGCATATATGTTCCAAAAGAAGAGTTTGACCTCTAGTATATAAATACTTATAACTCTCTATGAGCATCTGCAATGGACCCTTATTCCTTTATAATTTAAGGGGTTTTGCATTCCAATGGACCCTTATCCCCTTATATTTTAAAGGGATGAATAGTGCACCCTTAAATATAAGGGGTCACTGTTCACCCTTAAAAATATTTTGAATTTGCATTTTAGTCCTTGTAATTATACAATCTTACAAATAACATTTATAATACTTTTTGTGATCAGTTTAGTCTAAAATTATAATTTTTTTTAACATTTACTCTCTCTAATAAGAAATTTAATTACCACCACATAAAATCAAATAAAAACATTCATTGATTGGAAAATTATGGAAACAATATTGTAATTTTAGTTTAATATTTTTATATATAATTTTATGTTTTAATGTAATTTTATATTATTATGTAATGTTTTAATTAATAATATTGTGTAATATTTTATTAAAGTGTTTTTATTGCATTTTATGAAAGTTTTAGTATTATAATTGATTCTAGTTATTTTAAGGACTATAATGCAAAAATATTTTTTTAAGGGGTAAGGATAAGGGTCTCCATTGGAACAAAACTTACAAACCCCTTATTTTAAAGGTGTGTCCCCTTTATTTTAAGGGTGACCATTGGAGATGCTCTAAGAGAGAGAGCTATGTAGAGCTTGATTAAATTTTCAAAGAGATGCAGTTCTTGGCTACCGACGATCAAGGAAAGATAGTTGGTTAAGAGTGTAGAAGCTTATAAAACTCCAACTCCATAAGAAGTTAAACTTCAACTTCATTACACGCAGTCATGCACCACACCATTAATGAAGTTAAATCGCATTTGATCAATGACAATGAACATCGGTATGATTACAATTTACAACGAGCTGTGTAGTAATTAATTGAACTGTTAATTGTTCCAGTGTACATGTTCAATGCAGTTTGTTTTTAAATTGCTAACAGTTTAACCAACGCTATACTTTTGTCATCTCTTACCGACTTACATCTCTTCATCTTAACTGAAAATTGATGAATTCGTTGAAAAATATGGAAACAAAATGTTAAAACCGATATCAATGATTTATGCTACCCTTATTTTTTTTCTAGTTGAAATCAGAGTTTGTCAGTTTTCATACTATCAATAATTAACGAAATCAAAAGAAACGTTTCTGTAGTTAAAAAAAGCTTTTCCTTTCCTTTAATTTTGTTTTTACTTGGAGATATTATATGTAAATTGCAAAAAGTATATTAAAACCTCACATGTGGCCTGAGGCCCAAACAGAAATCAGAGTTTTCACCACCTTTGCAATAAAAATAGACGCACGCACATTGTAACCTAAAACCCTAAACCTTGTAATCACAACTAGTGCAACAATGGACGCAGAAAGGCAGAACCCACAGCTACCCCAGGATCTCGTAGAGGAGATACTCGTGAGGCTTCCCGTAAAGTCGCTCTTCCGATTCCACTCCGTTTCGAAACCGTGGAGATCGACGATCCAGTCACGCTGTTTCGGTGAGAGACTCTGTTTGAAGCGATCCCAGAAAAAGCTACCGACCCACCTGTTCGTTAAAGGGGCGTGGTTCCAAAGCGTCCTATCTTTGTGCCAGCTTCAACTATTTATCGACGAGGAAAAAAGACGACAACCGAGCCCGAACGATTACCAATTACTGTGGATGTCTACTAATCCTGTAGTCTCTACTACTCTTGAACAAGAAGTCTTCGATTTTAGTGCTGAGTCTTGGAGGTATTACAACATTGACAAGACCAAGCTATATCAGAGTATGTTAAAATGGATGTCAGACTACGAGTCACACGAGTTGTTTTTTTTTTTTTTTAATAACTGTGGGTGATCCAAAGTCTTTCTAGGCCCAAGACTAATCCCACGAGGCCCACGGCAGTTCACGTTTTCTTACCATTTAAGGCAGCCCGGGTGGCCGGGGACTCGAACTCGTGATGGCGGGCACCTCAGCTGAGGCTCCATTACCACCAGACCACGAGGACCCGGTTGAGTCACACGAATTGTACAAGTATTTGGTTTTTGAATAAATTTTACATTACATAAATGTCTCTCTTTATGCACCTGACCTGAATTAGCCTTCAATTAATCTTAACCTTTATGCACATTTATGTTAAAATGGATGTGTATGAATTAGCCTACAATCTTCCCACGCAAGCTTTTCGATGCATGTTTAGTGTTTTTTTGTGTGACTTAATCACAGTTTCTAGTTATAATTTCAACACCCTAATTGTACAGCGGCGTGAACGCTAAAAAATAGCGCAGTCACATTTTCAATGTGAAAAGCCTACATACCATTCAAGCCATATGAATTTACATGATTGGTATTTCACTTCGATGCCTAAGGGAAAATTTATGAGTTCTATAATTGCAAAAGCTTCACAAGACCAATGAAGTTATCATCATCACATTCAGAGCGATAACAATGATCTAATTTCTTGAAAATTAACATTGGATCGATCGTAAACTACTAAACTAGTTGCATAGCGATTTATTAAAATATTAAGAAAGATAAAAAAAAAAAAAAAAAGTTGTTACCCTTTCTTACATTCTTAAACCCACTTCCACAACCTCAGCATTGAAGCTAATCCATTTTATTACATTCGAATGTTCTATGCAGTAGATAGATTAATTGAAGAACTAAAACCAAATCAAAATCGAACCAAACCAAACCAAACGAACCGGGTTGGACATGAACGGTATAACCGGACTCAAGTCGATTCAATTTTCAAATGATATTGATAGGATAAACTCTCCGGGACAGAGACGAGAGCTTATTTCACTATGTCTCTCTCGCAAACGAATTTCCTCACTTGTTCATTTCTATCATCGAGCAATGACCTGCGAATTCCTTACTCTAGAGCGATTCTCTCTTATCCTCGTCACCACCAAACACACCGGATTCTCTGCGCTGCGAAGCGAACCGGGAAACGGAGATACCCTTCCGAGAGGAAGAAGCTGAGAACGGAGCAGAAGGAAGCTGTAGCAAAGGTTAAGAACAAGCTCGAAGGAGTCTGGCGTCTCTCCAAGCTCGGAGTTCCCGTCGGTGATGACCCTGGTAAAGACTCTCTCGGAATTTCGCCAGGTTTGCTTCAAGCCATCGCTAAAGTCATCGAGTTTCCGGTGAGTTTTCCCGGTGAAAAAATCACAAAATTTGAGGTTTTTGAAAGTGGGTTCATGTTTATCTGTTACTTCTGGATTGAAATTTCAAAACTTTCTCTTGTGGGTTTTTCCAGGTTGCTTCAATGCTGCCGGAAGAAGCATTCTCAGTGATTAGGAAATCATTTGACGCGAGGAAGGTATGTTTCAATTTGATTTCCACATATTAGATTATATATATTATAGTTTTAATCAGTGAAATTTGAATCTTTTGTTTCAGATTCTGAAAGAAGCCAAGTTTGTGTATACTGTGGACTTAGATGTGAAGACGCTTCTTGAGTTGGAGCCTCGTGCTCATGACTTCATTTTCCGGTTAGAGCCTAAGATTGGCCTTGTGGAGCATTTGTCTCCGGATAAGACCGTTTCCGGTGACTTGATCAGTGTGGTAAACGACTGTAAAAGAAGTAAAGAAGATGAGCCTCAGATTATCAATGGCTCTGGAGGAGATCCACACAAGCACGGAGGAGGAGGAAGAAGCAAACCGAAAATCGCAGTTGTTGGTGGTGGTCCGTCTGGTTTGTTTGCAGCTCTTGTTCTTGCAGAGTTTGGTGCTGATGTGACATTGATTGAAAGAGGGGAAGCAGTTGAAGAAAGAGGACGTGATATAGGCGCTTTGGTTGTTCGTAAGATTCTGGATATGGAGAGTAATTTCTGCTTTGGCGAGGTTTAGGAAGCTTCCTTCTCTTTAACTTCAGCTTGTTGCTAGTTTGTTTGTTAATGTGGAAGTCATATTTTGAAGCACTTATGGCGTGGCAGGGTGGTGCAGGTACTTGGAGTGATGGAAAGCTCGTTACTCGAATAGGAAAGAACAGTGCCACTGTTTTAGCGGTTTGGATTTTGAGACTCCCAAATTGTTGAATAAGTGCTACTTCATTGTTTGAGTAGAGCTGAAGAAAATGTGACCATTGCTTTCGTTGTTACAGGTGTTGAAGACGTTGGTTCGCTTTGGAGCTCCGGATAATATATTGGTGAATGGAAAGCCTCATCTAGGAACTGATAAGCTAGTTCCATTACTTCGTAATTTCAGGCATTATCTTCAAAGCGCAGGAGTAAGTTTAAAAGCAAGAGATTGATTTAAAGTCTCTTTTACTTTTTCTCCTGTGAGCTCCTCTTTAACTACATAGGCTTGATTAGGTGACTATCAAGTTTGGAACTCGGGTGGACGATCTATTGGTACAGGACTCTCGTGTGGTTGGAGTCAAAGTATCGGATTCAACAGATAAATTGCAGAGTAGCTCTCAGGATTTAAAGTTTGATGCAGTTGTTCTTGCGGTTGGTCACTCAGCACGTGACACATATGAGATGCTTCTTTCTCGTAATGTGGAGCTGACTCCTAAAGACTTTGCTGTAAGTTTCTTCTTAAACATGTGTGTTGTGAATATCTTCTCTGTCTTGGTTTTATCATTTGATATCTTTATGTTGTGTGGACCAGGTTGGTTTGCGCGTTGAGCATCCTCAGGAGCTAATTAACAGTATACAGGTTGGTTCGGTTACATTAACACCAGATATTTTCGTTATATCAGTCAAATCCATCCATGATGTTGCTGAGATTGTGATGCTCTTCTTTTTCTACTTGTATGTATGTAGTACTCGGATTTAGCTGGTGAAGTTCTTAAAGGACGAGGTAAAGTACCAGTGGCGGATTATAAGGTTGTTCAATACGTGAATGAGAAGGAAGATGATCTCTCTCAGTCTCCATCAAAACGTAGTTGCTACTCCTTCTGCATGTGTCCTGGTGGTCAGGTACATTCTCCTTTTAGAGTGTCTTGTTGTTTTTCTTTAAGAACTATCTTTCACGAATAATCTTGCTTCCATTGTTTTTGTAGGTTGTTCTCACCAGCACAAACCCAAACGAACTCTGCATCAATGGCATGTCATTTTCTCGCCGTTCATCCAAGTGGGCTAATGCTGCACTTGTCGTCACAGTCTCAGCAAAAGACTTTGATCTTCTCAATCTTAGGGGACCTTTAGCTGGCATTGAGTTTCAGGTATCAATCTAAAAGTGGATTACTGTTACTACTCTTTAGTCATATTTCATATTCAACATTTCTCCTTTGTTTTTTTTGCTTTTCCTTAGAGAGAGTTTGAAAGAAGAGCGGCTATAATGGGTGGCGGCAATTTTACAGTTCCTGTACAAAGAGTTACTGATTTTCTTCAAAACAAGTTATCTGGTAGATAGACCAACATTTCCTTTACACTCAATTCTCATATCATTGCTCTATTTTGATGTTCTTGTGCTGTGAAACAGTTACGCCATTACCTACATCAAGCTATAGATTAGGAGTAAAGTCAGCAAATCTGCATGAACTGTTTCCTGCTCATATCACAGAGTCTCTGCGACAGTCTATCTCTATGTTTGAAAAAGAGGTTGGTTTAGATGTTTTCTCATTTTGCTATAAACAAACTCGCAGCTTCTGTATTTTTCTCTAAACACTTGAAATTTTTCAGTTACCGGGATTCATCTCTGAGGAAGCACTCCTCCACGGCGTAGAGGTATAATAGTATTACATATCTTCCTTTGTCCTGAATCAGTCCGCTTCTCAAGAGATAACAAACAATGTCTCAACTTTGTTTTTAACCAGACAAGGACAAGCTCTCCCGTTCGGATACCTCGAAGCAATGAGACGTACGAGAGCACGAGCTTGAAAGGTCTGTACCCAGTTGGGGAAGGAGCTGGTTATGCTGGTGGGATTGTGAGTGCTGCAGTGGATGGTATGTTTTCGGGTTTTGCTGTTGCGAAAAGCTTTGATCTCTTTGATGGAACTGTAGAGTCAGTTATTGGAAAGGCTCAAGGTGCTGGACTTGTAAAGTACTGATCATGAAGAAGACAAGTCAAATTTGTTGATAGAATGGTTTGTTTGTTTTTTTTTCTTCCTTAACATTAGAAACTGATATCTTTATTGCTAAACTGACGGAAAAGTGTAATAAATTTATGCTAAATTATAGTGTACCAAGAAGATTTATTGTTGGAAGGTCATTTCATGGGTTCTTGATCTTGGTTGATCTCCATCCAGTGTTCAACATCTATCAAAAGCAAATTGCATGGATGAAATGTCACAATCAATGCTATGATTAGACTAGATAATTAAAGAAAAGCACATCGTGTATGTGTTTGGGTATCGATGCGAACCAAAAACATGACATGTTCTTGAGAGATCAAGACTTTGAAGTGAAGTAATGAGAGAGTCGCAGGAAAGCGAAACATAGAAAGACTTTTGTATCAATGTCAACTTTAATAAAAGCATACCGCAGAAACACAACTTTTGAACTTCGACACACGACGGAAGACAGTCACGGAACAATGGTTGCAGTTTTAAGATAACCGGGTCTAAAGGAGTTTTAAGGGTTCGTTTTCGTTCTGTTGTTCTTCCTCTTCCATGGCTATAAAAGGAGTAAAACGTAAAATAATAGTATTATATATTTTGTGTTTTTGAGAAAACAACTAAGCGACAAGCTTTAGACAAAGCATAGAAACATTACAATAACTCTAGTGTCTAGTGTGGTCAATATAATTGTGCTAAGCACGTGGATTATCCATCATTTGGCTCTTGCTTATCATACTTAATCACACCAACAAATAAAGATTTATCTTTCATCTGTACAGATGCTTAGAATTATGAAACATAACTACATTTCGGTGAAAAAGGTTAAATACGTTAGATAAGATTATTTTGTGTGTGTGCAAACGTTAGATAAGATTCAATAACTTTTGTTACTAAAGAAACGTTAGTCTTAAGATTTGTTGAGAAAAATTAAGCCATGAACAGCCACGGGTGACTAGACGAGTTGTAGATGTATTGTTATCATACATATAACATATACATACATATATATCATATATATGTATCATATATATGTATATGTGCTAGGTTCAATGATTCTGAAAAATTGGCAGTACGTACATGTGTAGCCAATATAAAACAAAAGATATCTAACAACATAAATTTGGAGAAGAAACGAGGAATTTTTAATATTATTGTATAAATTAAATAAATAATAGAACTCCAAGTGGAAGTAAAGTTGGAGCAAGACTCCACAAGAACAAGGTAAGGGACAACACAAATGAAAGAGAGACAAAGGTCTATAGAAAGCTTCATATCATATGATATGTCCGAATCATCTCATGTGGGAGCAAACCACTCTTTAAATTAAAAAAATGAGTTTATTATTTTCTCTGTTTTAAAAATGGATTATGTTATTCGGTTTAATGTACTCAACCTCATAAACATATCGGTTAAATGATAGTTACGGTCTTACGGAGTTTAGTCTATAGACTCGACCAAAATGGGTGAAATCGATTGATTATACAATAAACATATGTTAAGATATTGTTTCATTTTTTTTAGGGAGAATTGGCAATTTACCCCAAAATAAAGTTTATGTCCTATTACACCTTCCATTTCCTCTTTGTTCCAATACCCTTTTTAAAAACATTTTTCTCAGTTTTGCCCTTCATTTTCATTTTATTTCCATTTTCGTTTTATAAATTAAAATTTATTAAATAAAAAGACAAATTAACAAAACTAAACTAATTAAAAAATAAACCAACAAAAAACAAAACTTCTTCTCTCCTTTGATTTGGGATAGTTTGAGGAAAAAAAAGAAAGAAAGATTTGAAAAATATTCAGATGCTATATTTTCTCGATTTTCGTAGAACATGACTTCTACTAAAAGTAGAGGACGGTGATTTTGCTAGATTATATATTAGAAACACGATAGTAGAAAATAAGATTTTAGTAGAACACTACTTCTGCGGGTCATAGATTACTGTCAAACACGTAGGATACGAAAACTACCTATTGTAGATAGCAATGTTTACTATAGAACTTGAAATCTACGAGTAGTAGAACATACTTCGTTGTGTAGAAGATAGTTGGTGCAACTTCTACCGGAAGAGGGAAGAGGTATGAATAAGTTGTAGATATTATGTTCTATGACCGTTAGACTTATGAATATCTTGTAGAAAACGAATTCTACTTTGATATTATCGATTTGTAGAACGAAACTTCAAATATTTTTTAAAATATTTTAAACATTTTCAAAAATGTTGAAATATTTTACACTGCCTTGAGATCATTTTTAGGATTTATGGAATTTTTTTTCACTTTAAAAACCCGTTACTTAGAGTTTCTAGAAATATCAAAGGTAATCTTGACCAAAAAAGACCAAATTCAAAAAAGTGTAAATGGACAAGAAAAACTTCAATTTGGGGTAAATTGCCAATTCTCCCTTTTTATTTTCATTAATATTTGATGAATGAAAATTTATAAAAAAAAACCGTGTAGACGATTTTGAGGGCAATCACTAATCAGCATTCAACATACACTCCATGTGACTCCATTTTTTTTTGTTATAATTAATATGAAAGACATGGTTGGGGATTAGCCATGAAAGTGTTTGGTAAAATCATTTAGAAGAAAAGACAAATAAAAAATACAAGAGAATGACCAAACACATATCATGGGTAACCATCATAGTTCCATTTCTCCCAAAATTTACTTTTTATTTATTTTCAATTTTTGGTCTGAGAGCTTTTACTCGCAACTCTTATGATTGTAGTTAAGGTTAGGTGTGAACATAATGTAAATTAAGCTTTCGGCGTAAATGCTAATTTTCATACAAAACAACGTTCATATACCCGAAACAATCATCAGTTTCATCAGTTCGATAAACTTGTCACATTTTGGTCTTGTCTCTTTGCAATTTCATATTTTATTCCTTCTTATTAAACTCCATCAACAGTTTTAATTGGTACAAAAAAAAAAATCACTAGTGACAAAATAGGTTCAAATGTCTTGCGAGCGTATGCGTGACATCAATGAAGTGTGTGGACAACCTATCAGACGCTGACTATCACCTAAATGTAACTAGCTAGTAGCTAGCTCGTGTTTGAGAGCTTATTTTGACCCTTTGATTTTTGGATTGGTATGATACAATATAATTTTAAATTGATTTCAGACCGGTTAAACCGGGTTGATCACCTAACTCGGAGAATACCTTAATTAATTCAAACATTTTTAGCAAGAAAAACAAAACTATATACTTTGGTCTCCTTGTGTTCTTGTTAGTGACCTCTACGAGCTTGTGAGATTTTTATTGGTTTATTCTGATTTGTGAGAAGAGAGAAGACTCTTTATTATCAAAATTAGGTGGCGCGAAAATAACGCCCTCTCTCTCTCTCTCTTTCTCTCTCTCTCTGATCTCGAATCCATCCTTAAATCGCCCCGATCAATTTTATCTCCGGCGTTTCATTCCTCACGAGCATTCTTCATCACCGGCGAAAATATTTTTTTACAGTTTCAAGCTTGGGTAAATTAACTCCGATCGCGTCTGTAATTCCTCATTTCGATCTCGAAGGGCAGATAAATTATTCGCGAGGAGGATCACGGGATTGCTTTTTGTGGAAATTGAAGGGTTTTTCATGTTTTCCTGGTAAGATTTTATTTTTCGCAATCGCAACCTTATATGTACTCGGATCTCTAAGGTTTTAGCTTCGACATTTTGGTGTATCAATCCCAATTTTGGATTTTTATCCAAAATCGGAAGAACCCTAGAGATTGAATTTGCGATCTGAGCTTCATGAAATAGAAAAGGGAAATAACAGCTTGTCTGTTTGATCATTAGTAGAAACTACGAATCTCATTTGGTAAAGACTTCCAATTCATGTTTCGGTTTTCGGTATTTTGAGGATTTGTACAGAATTAGAAATTTGATGGATTAATTAAACGAGTCTGTGTCATGAGAGACACAAGTCGGTCAGTAATTGACAAATTTGCCTTTTGGATTCTTCGTCAGAACCATCTCATCTCATTCACTCTCAACAGAAAACAAAAAGTGTTTTTTTTTTAATCAGAATTTTTGTTCTTTACATTGATTTCCGTCTCTCATCCTTCACTTTCCCGAGATAATTGTAAGTATTTTTAGTCAAATGGTTAAAACTTAAACACCACGAAAGGAATCATCACTGTTACTGCATTTCATCATTTCTCTCTTTTGCTCTCTCTCTCTCTCTCTCTCTCTCTCTCTCTCTCTCTGAGTTTCTCAATCAGCCAGTGATGTTCTCGGAGAGTGGGCACCGATTCTTGGTTCTTCCATACACGTGGTCCCTTTTTTTGGAGAAACACCAAAATCTGTCAAATGTTGCTACTACTACTGCAATCAAACATTATCACACGTATTAATTTAACAAGTTCACTATCCGCGAGGTGGTAAAAGAAGTTTCTTTTTGTTCTATTTGTTCTCTTTGCGGTGTTGTGAATTTGATGGTAAAAGATTCTTCCTCTGAAAAATCTTCACTTTTATATTGTGAAACTGCAACTAACTAGTTAGAACTCAACCCCATCTTACCTTTTTCCTGTGTTTTTGGTTTTCTTGCAGAATAAAAGGACTTCCTTTACGGTATAACTGGAGCTGTTATTATTGTTTAGCGAAATGAGGGGCGTGTCCTGCTAAATCCAATCAATGCAAGTTTGTTTCGTTAGCCTGAATGGATGTAGCAACAGATACTACAAGACGGCGTCTTGTTCCATCAGAGAAGAACAATGCAGCCGCTGTCACCACTCGCCGTCCTCGAACAGCAACAATGGAGGTCAGTTCAAGATACAGATCACCAACACCAACCAAAACCGGACGGTGCCCTTCCCCAAGCGTCACAAGGCCAACATTGTCTTCCACCTCTCAATCCGTGGCTGCAAGAAGAGCAGTTTCAGCAGAGAGAAAACGTCCTTCAACACCACCATCTCCGACCAGCCCCTCCACTCCTATACGTGATGTGTCTGTGGACTTACCAGCTTCATCTAGAAGGCTATCCACAGGCCGTTTGCCTGAAAGCTTATGGCCTTCCACGATGAGAAGCCTCAGCGCCTCGTTTCAGTCTGATTCAGTGTCAGTCCCTGTTAGGAAGAAGGAGAGACCTGTTAGTAGCTCTCCTGTTGATCGAACACTGAGACCTTCTTCGAATATAGCTCAGAAGCAGAAGGCTGAAACGACCTCTGTATCAAGGAAACCTACGCCAGAGAGGAAAATAAGTCCATTGAAAGGGAAGAACAATGCGTCTGATCTTTCAGAGAACTCGAAACCTGTAGATGGTTCTCATAGTCGGTTAATAGAACAGCATCGGTGGCCTAGTAGAATTGGCGGGAAGATAAATCCAATTTCTTTGAACAGAAGCTTGGATCTTGGGGACAGGGCTTCAAGAGGTTTGTCAACTTCAGGGCCTGTGATGGGGAGGTCTCTTAGGAGAATGTCACTACCTTTGCCCAGCAGTTCGAAGCCTTTGCATAAAGCTTCTAGTGTCACATCTAGTAATGGTGGGTTAGTGTCTCCGACAAAGTCTGAAGATAATAACATAGCTCGAACTTCTGGAGCTCAAAGACTAATGTCTGCAAGCTCGTTAGATAGAGCGACCTTAGCAACGGCTGTAGCTAGGCTGCATCCATTGTCTGGTGCTGGATCTTGCCCTGCTTCACCAAGTAAAGCATCGTTTTCGTCTTCATCGTCTGTTTCCCGAGGGATGAGCACTTCGAGAGGAGTGAGTCCATCAAGAGGAGTAAGCCCTGCAAGAGGATTGAGTCCTACGAGAGGTTTAAGTCCTGCAAGAGGATTAAGTCCTTCAAGAGGGTTAAGTCCTTCTCGTGTCTCGAATTCCTCCTCTTTTGCAAGACCATCAACTCCACCTTCAAGAGGGGTGAGTCCTTCACGGAATAGACAAACCAGCACTTCTACACAACCTAGTACCACAACTTCCGTTCTCAGCTTCATCGCGGATGTCAAGAAAGGGAAAAAGACAAACTACATCGAAGACGTTCATCAACTGCGTCTGCTTTACAATAGATATTTACAATGGCGGTTTGCAATTGCGCGAGCTGAATCTGTAATGTACATTCAACGGTTAACTTCTGAGGTATGTAATACGTCTGTCCTCTATAACAACATGGACGGTTCTTCAACTGTTTGATGATAATGCATATGAAATTTAAAGTTTGATATTTCAGGAAACTCTATTCAATGTGTGGCATGCGATATCAGAACTACAGGATGATGTGACCAGCCAAAGGATTGGCCTTCAACAGCTAAAGCTAGAGATCAAACTTAACTCACTATTAAACGATCAGGTAGGTTCTCTCTCTCTGTTGTAATCTGACTTTTGCATTCATCAGAGTATCAGACTATGCCTTGCTGATGCATTAATATGTGCGCAGATGGTAAGTCTTGAAGATTGGGCCACACTTGAAAGAGACCATGTTAGTTCTTTAGTTGGAGCCATAGCAGATTTAGAAGCAAACACTCTCCGCCTTCCAGCCACTGGAGGAACAAAGGTATACACATTGTTACTCATGCAAATTAAGCTCAGAAGACTAAGAAATAGTTATCATTTTGAACTTGTCTTGTTACAGGCGGACGTTGAGTCTTTGAAAGCAGCTATGTCCTCGGCTCTAGATGTAATGCAGGCTATGGGATCGTCCATTTGGTCTTTACTCTCAAAGGTGAGACCATCTACTTTCCATATTTATCATCTTGACATAACTCTAATGCGTGTGCACTGGTCTTTATGGTTGAATTTTGCAGGTGGAGGAGATGAACAAAATGGTCTCAGAACTCGCTGTTGTAGTTACGAAAGAGAGTTCAATGCAAGGCAAATGCGAAGATCTTCTGGCCTCAACCGCGATCATGCAGGTAAATAACAAAACAGTCCAGTAATTGAATGAAAAGTGATTCTGTAAAGGGAACTGAAACAGAGTTTTGGTGGCATGGAACAGATAAAAGAGTGTAGCCTCATGACTCATCTGATACAAACTAGGAGAGAAGAAGTAGAAGATTCTTCTACAGAGGAGACACCTCCATTGTTGCCAAGCAAGTTTCCATGGCCATAAAATAACACGCTTACAGTTCCACACGCTCAACACTGATCTCACCTGTAAATTGCTCTTTGATGCCCCCACATTTCTCTTGTCGAGATCCTTTTTTGATCTTTGCTTGTTGAGCTTTTTTTTTTCTTCCCTTTTTTGATATGAAACATTAGCATAGGAAAGAAAAGAAGTCAAAGATCTTAGGATTATAAAAAAAAGGGAACTAATTGTTCAAATGTAAGTTCTGATGTTGGTTTTATTATTTAGTGCCAATTAGTTTAGAGTTTAGACTTGAGTAATATCAAAACGAATTAATTTAGGATTTTTTGGCTTTTTATTTATTTTTAAAAATTTGTTCACTAACAATATTAAATCATACAGTATGTTAAATAAAATATTCATTTCTTAATTAAATCCAATAAAAATCGACATTTGATTTTCTCTAATTTGAAAGAGCGCAAAATGAGTCGTTTCGTACTTTCGTTCAAACTCAAAAAGCCAAATGTTACTACGGACTGTATCGGCCGCCACCGCCGAGACAACCGCCGGAGTGATTAGCAAGAACAACATCTCCGATCTCTTCAAAATATCAACTTCTCTCTCTCACCTCACCCAAACCCACGCTCAGATCATTCTCAATGGCTTCCGAAACGACATCGTATTGCTCACCAAGCTTACCCAGCGACTCTCCGACCTCGGCGCAATGCAATACGCACGCGACCTTTTCCTCTCCGTCGAGAGACCTGACGTTTTCCTCTTTAACGTCCTCATGCGCGGCTTCTCCGAGAACGAATCACCTCACTCTTCGCTCTCCGTATTCACACATCTAAGGAAAGCCACTGATCTCAAACCCAACAGCTCCACCTACTCCTTCGCTATCTCGGCCGCTTCTGGTTTCCGCGACGAGAGACCCGGCCGTGTTCTTCATGGTCAAGCGCTCGTCGATGGCGTTGACTCAGAACTACTCGTTGGCTCGAACATCGTTAAAATGTACTTCAAGTTTTCTCGAGTCGACGATGCAAGGAAAGTGTTCGACAGAATGCCTGAGAAAGACGCAGTTTTGTGGAATACAATGTTATCTGGGTACCGAAAGAACGAAATGTATGAAGAATCTGTTCAGGTTTTCAGAGATTTGATCAACGAGAGTAGTACACGTCTGGATTCAACAACCGTGCTTGATATTCTTCCCGCTGTAGCCGAATTGCAGGAGCTGAGACTCGGGATGCTAATCCACAGTCTCGCCACGAAAACAGGTTGCTACTCACACGATTTCGTTCTCACAGGTTTCATCTCATTGTACTCAAAATGTGGAAAGATTGAAGCTTTAAGTACTCTGTTTCGAGAGTTTCGTATACCAGATGTAGTAGCTTACAACGCAATGATTCACGGGTACACGTGGAATGGCGAGACTGAGCTCTCCTTGAGACTGTTTAAAGAGATGGTGTTATCAGGAACAAGGTTTAACTCAAGCACGCTTGTGAGTCTCATCCCTGTCTCTGGTCATCATCTTATGCTCATATGTGGCATTCATGGTTACACCTTGAAATCAGGTTTCTCGTCTCATGAGTCTGTCTTGACCGCGTTAACCACGGTTTACAGTAAATTGAATGAGATAGAATCAGCCAGAAAGGTTTTTGACGAATCTCAAGACAAAAGCTTGGCGTCTTGGAACGCAATGATCTCTGGTTACACGCAAAACGGTTTGACAGAGGATGCGATATCTCTGTTTAGAGAGATGCAGAAGTCTGAGTTTAGTCCAAACCCGATCACGATAACTTGTATTCTCTCGGCTTGTGCGCAGTTAGGAACGTTGAGTTTGGGGAAATGGGTGCATGGTTTAGTAAGGAGCACGGATTTTGAGTCTAGCATATATGTGTCTACTGCTTTGATTGGAATGTATTCAAAGTGTGGAAGCATTGCAGAGGCACGCCGGTTGTTTGACTTGATGCCGAAGAAGAATGAAGTTACATGGAACACGATGATCTCCGGTTATGGTCTCCATGGACATGGACACGAAGCTCTGAAGATCTTCTCTGAGAAGTTGAATTCCGGCGTCGCACCGACGCCGGTCACGTTCCTCTGCGTTCTTTACGCTTGTAGTCATGCTGGTCTGGTCAAAGAAGGTGATGAGATGTACAATGCCATGATCCACCGGTTTGGTTTTCAACCATCGGTCAAGCATTACGCCTGCATGGTCGATATTCTGGGCCGAGCAGGGCATTTGCAGAGAGCATTGCGGTTTATAGAGGCAATGCCGGTTGAGCCGGATCCTTCCGTGTGGCAGACGCTGCTAGGAGCTTGTAGGATTCACAAAGACACGAACCTTGCACGTACAGTCTCTGAGAAGCTGTTTGAGCTTGATCCAGACAATGTTGGATACCATGTTCTGCTGTCGAATATTCACTCGGCTGATAGAAACTATCCACAGGCTGCTACGGTCAGAGAAACCGCAAAGACGAGGAAACTAGCCAAGGCTCCTGGTTACACCTTGATAGAGATAGGTGAGACACCTCATGTGTTTACCTCAGGTGATCAGTCACATCCACAGGTGAAAGCAATCTATGAGAAGCTAGAGGAGCTTGAAGGGAAGATGAGGGAAGCTGGGTATCAACCGGAGACTGAGTTGGCTTTGCACGACGTGGAGGAGGAAGAGAGAGAGCTGATGGTGAAGGTTCACAGCGAGAGGCTAGCCATTGCGTTTGGACTCATAGCCACTGAGCCAGGAACCGAGATCCGGATCATAAAGAATCTTCGGGTCTGTTTAGACTGTCACACCGCAACCAAACTCATCTCAAAGATCACAGAGAGAGTGATAGTTGTGAGAGACGCCAACCGATTCCATCACTTCAAAGATGGTGTCTGTTCTTGCGGAGATTACTGGTAGTGAGTGACTTGTTTTTTTGGTCTCAATACAAGTCACACTGTATTCATATTGTAACATTACATCACTCATTCAAATAATCTATTTCTATGGTTACATACAGATACATGGGAAAATCAACTATACAGAAACTTATCAAACTGAAAGTATCTATAGACAATTGTGCTTCATACATCTTGAGTTGCAGTTATACTATTCGCCGGCGAAGCTTCATCATCAGATGGCTTCTTCTTCTTTTTCGGTGGTGGTTCTTGTGCTTTCCGAAGAACGTCCTTGTTTGGCACCAAGACAATAAACAAATTTCTGTCCCGGAAGTTTTTGCTCTCCTCAGTTGCAAGCTGTAGATGTTGACACGTTTCAGAGACTCAACAAACACTAATCCATTAATGCGTAATTCACATGCAAATCTCATTCAAATACAATACGAACCTCCCCAACTTCATTCTGAAAACGTTTAAGGAGCTCAATAGCAATATTTCTGAACTCGTTTTCCCGGCCTTTCATGTTCACAATCACTTTAACCTGAGTGTATAACAAGTCACGCAGCAGCAAAACGCAATCAGGTAGTAACACACGAAAAAAGGGTAAATGGGAAGAACCTTGTCACCGTCTTGCAAGAACTTTCGCGCTGCTCTAAGGCGTACAGAGTAATCATGCTGATCTATGTTATAACTATCCGGGAAACAAAAAAAGCAGCAACCTTTCTTGAGAAGAAGAAGTTTTAAACAAGTCACTGCAAATGCACAGACAAATGGGCTCTTTTTACCCCATTTTAAGCTCCTTCAAGTCCATGCGTGTAGCTGACATAGAAACAAGCTTGGATTACAATCCATTCATGTAAACAAGACACAGCATTGTGAGCTTATTGTTTTGCAGAGAAGAATGATTCAAATACTTTTTTTTTGCTGTTCCTTTTTCCTCTTTTGCTGTTCGTATCTGTATTTACTGATAAAGAAACAAAAGGATAAAGAATAATCATTACCCTTGAAAGTGTCCTATACACAATCTTATATGATATAGGCAACAATATTAAAAATTATCTTACTATCTTACCTGTAATCCATCATTCTGACAACTGGAGGATCTGCATCCGGCGAAAGTATCACCTGAAGATGAAATACTTGTTAGTGAAATATACAAAAGATCCTGCTTTTCAAGAACTAAATAGGTAATCTATGAGCTTTGAATTCATTAAAAGAAACACAAACCAGATCAAGCTCAGCTTCTTCAGCTCTTCGTACGGCTTCCTCTTTAGAAACTAAACCAATCTACAGAAGAAAGAAACTGGAAACTTTATGAGTTCCATTTTAGCTGAAATCAATGGTAAACACTAAAGTCACTTCATTTTACCATGTTCTGTTGCCCATCAATAAGCCTAACAGTAGCTGAGCTACTCAACCGGAAAAAAGATCAATACTTCAATATCAAACAAAACTTCAGCTACTTAAGAGAAATTCGATCAACTGAAGTATCAACAGTTACCTAATAGCAGAGATATCAAGCGCATCATCGTCCTCGGATTCTTTTTGTCCACCTCGCCTATCCCCAGCGAATCGCGATCCTCCGCCACCGCCTCCGTAACGGCAGGTGATTGCGGGGATGCGGTGATGATAAGGCGAGAGATAAACAATTGACAGTTCGGCGAGATAGAGTTGGAGACCGAAGAGCTTAGATTTAACAGAGAATGGCGGCTGATGCGACACCGTTTTAGTGCTTCCGGCGAGAACAGCGTTGAAACCGACGGTGATGGTTATCCCAGTCATGGCGCTTCAGAGTCAGAGCCACTAAGAATCCGACAAATCAGATAAAAAATTGAATTAAAACATGAAGCTCTTATCCAGATAGTTAATAAATACATTAGACTGAAATCTAAAGTGGTAAGAAGATATTTCATTATCTATTAGACATTTAGACTAATAATTTTCCAATTTATCAATATATCAAAGGTTGATAAATTACAAATCCGCTTTATTAATGAGATATATTTTTGTTTTGTAACGCCTTCTTTCATTTATCCAGACAAGTGATGATAGTATTAAAATGTGAGATTTTTTTTTTTTTTAAATGTTGAGTTAATATCATACTTGCTATCTTCTTACTTGGTTTTGCTTTTGTGTATGTTCTTTTTGGTGCCTACATCATGGTTTTGAATAGGTCTAAATGCACAAAACTTTAGAGAATATGTTGAATAGTACTCTTAAGTCTTAACATTGTATGGGAATTTGATTTAATAATCAAGTATTTATTTTTAACTAAAAAGAATTACATTAATTTTTGTTATTTTGGAGAAGTTGCTGTCAATCATTGATTAATGAGAAAGTGTATCTCATTTGGACGATGTAAAATCACATAAAATGTTTGTAATACATTGAACGAGTAAAAGATATGTGGATCGTGACAAAATGTCACTGTTATGACAGTAATAGATTTTTTCCACAAAGAAAGAAAACAAAATTCGTGAGCAAGTGAGCTGTCTTGGAATCATGGATCCCATCAACGCCTTGTTGTGACTTGTGAGCGAAGATCTACTTTTTCTTTTTCTTTGGTAGTGTGCACGAAGTTTCTCACAACTCTATAAATACACACACATACGCATTCATTATTTCAACAACTCAACTACAGATCTAATTAAAGAAGAAGAAGAAAAAGATGAGAACTTCTTCTCTTCTTGGTTGGTTCTTGATCATCTCCCTCTTGTTACTCTCTCAGTCCCTCATAATTTCATGCCAACCTCAAGCACTCAAGAAGGGTCCTGGCCGGGGACTAGTTGAACATGAAGAGAACGCGGATGGATCTCACGGTCATCACCATGACCATCTTCGAGTTTTCGTGAGGAAAAGCAAGAAGAAGAAGAAGAAGGACAAATCATCGGCTACAAGAACTCTTCTCTCTAACCCATTTACTTATGTTGTGAGTTCCTTTGCTTTAGTGCTCGCCGCATTCTGATCTACTTCCAAGGATGATAGATCGCGGCTTGGCATATCTTTTGTTGTTTGTCGTCATGGTTTAATTATGCATGTTTGGTTGAATTTGTATTTGCAATTTTTTTCTTTCTTTTTGTTTCCGGAAAATATGTGTTTGTAACTGGCTTATAATTGGAAGTTCTTTGCCTGGCTGTCTATTAATCATTAACGTGATTCCAGTTCATTAACTGATTATTTATTTGAGTTATGGTTAAACAAAAAGAAAGTGGGAGGAGAAAGACAATGGATAAACTAGAAAGGTCCAGCATTTTTTTTTTTTTTTTAATATCAAATTAGATGATTCAATAACATGAAAATGAATACGTTTCATATATAAATATGACTCAATGTTATTGAATCAATAATGTGTATCTCTAGTTTCTACATATACACAAAATTTTGAAAAACTAGTATATATTACGTGATTAAGACGACGATCAAGGAGAAACGGTGTATTGGTTACACTTGTTCGCCATTACTATTATGAATGTTTTCAAGCATATGTTCTTAATTAATTAAATGTTAAATAATTTTTCAATTCAAGATCGACTAGCTTTGAAGAAGTAAAAGTAACTCGAAGAGACATAGGGAACAGTAATTTAGTTAGTATAAGATAAATACAAACATGCTCATTCGAAATCGATTGGCGTTGAAGACTTGAAGAAGTAAAACAGAAACGGAATATGAAAAATGACAATGAGAATTTAGAATGATATATTATTTTTGAAACAAAAAAGAACTCGGAAACAATACTTTAGGGAGACAGAGGGAACATTAATCAGTATAAGATAAATGGTTGAATACAATATTAGTTTTGAACATGATTCAAAGAACAAGTCACTCATTTTGAAGCCATCTCATTGTCTTAGTCTAGGGTTATATATATACTAATTCTCTTTCACACATTACATCTCATCATTTCGTTATTTGTAAAACACAGACACATATCTTCTTGTAGTCTCCGAATTGTTTGGGAATTTTGTATCAAAATTATACATACATATTATTTGAGAAGAGTCAAATGAGAATTTCACTGGCTTCCTTCTGTTCATTGGTCATGATCGTAGCGTTACTCTCTCAACCTTTGCCAACTTTATCTGAAAATCAAGAAAACAAATCCCAAATACTGACTTCTTGTGGAAGAAGCCTTGCAGAACACGGTGGCTCCAATCGATCAAGTCATCGTGACACTTTTCGAGTTTTCATGAGGAAAGTACGTAGCGGTGGTGGTGGTGGTGGTAAGAAGAGCCGCCATCGTGTCCCTACTGGTGGTGGTTCCGGTGGTTCGTCGGGTACTAGTCGACCTTGTCTCTCGATCGCATTCCATTTCGGTTGCACGGTCGCTAGCTCAATTCTTTTGATATCCTTCGCCTTCTAATTAAACTTTCTGTTTGCCTTTCTATTTTTTCATTTGTATCTTGTGAACTTTTCTTTTCTTTTGTAATGGTTTGTATTATTTTGATTATCTTGTTGTGGTTTAAATCGTGAGACATGATGATTTGAATCAGAAAATTAAAAAATGAAATCGGTGTGAGTAAATCATTTGACATTTCTCGAATAAATCGATATGATGATAATAATTTAAGAAAGCCTTTTTCATCACATCTTGACATTGTAATCTTTAGACAGCTTGTCTTAAACTTGAGATGTTTTTTTTTTTTTAGGGTGATATATATATACACATATTATATGCCACGCAAAGAAAAAAAAGTACTTTCAAATCAAATTTCCAACGTACGATCTTATATTATATTCTCATTGCAAGCGAGGAGTTTTGACAGGATGGTTAACTGTTTTTGGTGTGCACGTACGTACTATACTACTTCAGAGTTCATTGTAATTACGATTGAATGATAAATATATTTTTCATTAGCTTTTGAAATATACATGATTTAATATCAAGAGATCAAAACAATATTGGTTTTACCCAAAACAGATTAGTTTGGTTCACTGTTCAAACGAGTAAATATGTTTTTATTTTCTTTCATTTGGAAAGGTGGAAGAGGAATCCAAGAAACTTGGTCGTTAACTTATCTTCTTTGATCACGTGTGTGGGGATCAAATCTTACCCGACAGTGGCTGCTTTTGCTTTCTTTTCTTGTTCTCTTCAGATTCTTCAATCATAGTTATCACTTGTAATCTTCCACCTTAAGGTTTTCATTTCTCTCTTCTTAGTGCAAGATATAGTCCTCTATATAACTCTCATACTCAGTGGTTAATTTACTGATCATCTCCAAACAATTCCACAAGAAATCATCAATCTTCTTCTTTGCAGAAGCTTTCATAATATCTGCCATGAAGAGATACTCTCGATATTTGTTGCTAATCATCAGCATCTTCTTCGTTACCTTTGCTTTTGCTGAAGAACTTCAATGCTCTTCAGACAAAACAGTCTACGCCCTTGACAAAGGCAAGTCGTTGCTTCAATGTTTGCTTAACAACTTCAAAAGCTAAACATACATTTTTAACTCAATTTTTTGGTTGTTGTTGCAGAGAGAGCAATCGTAAGAGTAAGTGATATCAAGAGAGCTCACGAAATGAGCAAGGCAAAAGGTGTCTATGGAGGTGGATCCCTTATCAGACCTAAAGGAAAGAAGAACAGAGCCATGGCTTCCATCACCAAATCTGCTTCACTTGCACTAATTCACGTCACAATTGCAACTCTGGTCCATCTTTTCTTGTATTAAAAATGTAATATCTTACGAGACTAGAAACATGAATCTATCAGAAGCCAACAAGCATATATAATTTCACCTTCAAAAGAACAACCAATGTAACAACAACAACAACAACAACAACAACAACACAATGTTTTTCAAATCTTGTCAATTACATAAAAGTAAAAAACATATTGCAAAAGCAACTTTATTTGGGTACAAAAAGGTGACAAGAAACAAACAGACTCCGAAGACAGATGTCAAGCGGAGTAATAGAGAGGGCGTCTTGCGTCATCGAAGTACTCTTCTCTGTTCTGAAACACGATCACGTAAAGCGCATAGATGATCCCCGGGATGTATCCTAAGATTGTCAGCACCAGGCAAATCAAGAACTCCACCTGCAATCAAATCAGATTTTCGGAAAAAAATTCAAAATTTATTCAATCCCTTCAATAGTACATGCATAGGCAATAGCTAATAGAAATTTCCTTCTGTGATCAAATAGAAATTGATCCAATCCTAAGAATTTCTGCGATTCGTATCAGAGATTTAAGGAAGGAAAATTCCTACTTGTTCAGTCGTATCACTAGACTAGTCATCATCTAATTCAAGTTTTTCAGGAAATCACCAAATGCTAACAAACCGCGATTATTCAAGTTTTCTCGGTGAATAAACAGAAACTGAATATCGCTTCAGAGTAGTTCGATCGAGAGAGAGAGAGAGAGCTTACAGTGCAACAGCCGCGCCTGAGGCAAACTCCGAGAGGGGGAAGGAGGATGGCGATTAAGATCTCGCACAAGATTTCGCACTTGCTCGGCATTTTTTCCAGAAGATGATGACTAGTCGTAAAGAAGCTTTGAGTTTGGCTTTTCGATAATTTATAATCGTCACTGTAAAGTTGGGCACAGAGATCCAAATGAAGAAGAGCAGTCCACGTTCTTTTCTTCGTTGTGCAACTCAAAATCAATTACGAAGATCCGAACCGTTCATTTTTAATCCTACGGCTTCAGATTACGTCACGTGGATTACTTACCTTACTCCCACTCCTTATTTTCACCTCCACGTGGATCAGAACACACAGGATATGGTGCAACTTAACACACCAGATCATTTTTTAGATATTTTGACCATGCGACTAAAATTTCGGGGCCTAGGCCTCTTAATTTCGGGACCGGACTATTAAAAACGGCGTCGTACCAATAGTACACATTAAAAAAGAGTGAAACTTATTTTTACACAAAAAGTAAAAATTGAGAAACACTCTAGATAAGAGATATGTGCTGCATTTTGGGTGCCAATAACGAGAATCCATTCAATGAAATCGGCATTCTTGAAATACAAAGTAAGGAATCAGATCGTTTGCAAAGCAACTTATTGAGTGGGTACATAAGTAAAACATTCTCAAGATCCGAGTATGGACCGATAATTAGATATGTCACGCAGAATTGAGTGGGGCACTGTAATCCTGAGTCTCTCCTTCACGGTTCTGAAACACGATCACGTAAAGCGCATATATTATGCCTGGGATGTACCCTAAGATTGTCAACACCAAGCATATCAAGAACTCTACCTGCAAACAAAACCAAAACAAAACCAGTGTTAAAAATTAAGTTTCCAAGATTCTGTCTCCAAACTAAAGCTAGAGTGGGAGATGAGAGCTTACAGTGCAACAGCCACGCTTGAGGCACACTCCAAGAGGCGGAAGAAGGATCGCGATTAAGATCTCGCAGAAAACTTCCATGTTGCTCGCCATTTTGTCAGAGATGAGAATAAATTCTTGAAGATGAAAATGATCTTTATAATGAATAATAATGGAAGAAGTTGTCGGCACAGAGATCCTGTGGATACCAATCCACGCTCCTACAAAGTCAACACCGAGATCTTTCACCGTTCATTTTATCGAAATTTGAATCGTGTGGCTTTAGGTTGCATGCCGACATCACGTGGATCACCTTACCATACCCCACTCCTTCACACACCAGATCATTTCTAGATATTTTTACTCTGTCGTCCCTCCACCGTAAGTTCAATGGCCCATGTGACTACGTGGGCATAAGAAGACCTGTCTTTTTAATTAAACCGGGACCAGACTAGGATTGGTTTGGTTTTATAAACGTTGTCGTACGAATAAGACTTTAATTCGACCATGCTGGGGTACCTTGGACGAAAAGCTATAATAGCTATGGCTGATGTAAACGAAAGACTAAATCTTATTTCGTATAATGATCACACAATTTAAAGCAAACAAACAAAACATAAATGTACAAAGGAGTTTTAACGAAACACAAATAAAAGAAGGTTTAATTAGGAATGCCATAGAGCAAAGAGCATCGAAAGTATTGGTCAACAAGCTTATCAAAACGTTTGTCCACAAAACCAATCACCATTATGTTTTACTCATATCTCGGATGACCCGGTCTTGACATACGTAGAAGAGCCATAGGGAAGTTGAAGTTAGGCGTATTGACCTCCCTCAGATTCTTCAAGCTCGAGGTACACGCACTTATCTCCTCGCTCCTCAAGGATATGCACCCGTATAAGTCCATGTACTCTAGATCTAGACATTTTCCACAAATCAAAGCAAGACCAGTAGCAGTCAACGTGGTGTATCGAAACTCCAGGTGCTTGAGCTGAGGCATGTGTATAGCAATGATATCTGCCTCTACGTTCGCGTACTTAGGATATGTAGCCAGATAGTCGAGTGGCGCTACAATTGTAGGCATGTGGGGATTGAGTCGTGGATACAGATTCCGTTTAAGAACCATTAGGTTCTTGCAATTCTTTCCCAACATTATCAGAGAATCGAGTGATATTCCATAAGAGTAGCTCATATCGAGTTCTTTGAGGTTTGGACAGTTTGAGGCTATGTTTACCATTGACGCATCTGTAACATTTCGACAGCTCTTGATCCAAAGCACCTCTAGTTTAGGACACCTGAAAATTGAAATCACATATTAGGTCTATGAAGTATGAACCATGAACGAAAATATAAAAACGTAAGTTGCAAGAAACCACCAACAAGAATTAAAAAATTTATACTAATAGACATTTCTCCCTTTCATTTATCTTCTGAAAGGTTTTCACAAAAATTCAAAAATTACAATTAACTTCCATGGAATCAAGCAACGTAAGCAAAAATTACTAGAGATTCCCAATAAAATTCAGATTCTATACTAACAAACATTTCTTTCATTAATACTCAAGCAGAGCAAGCTGAGATTAGGGCAAATCTTGGAGTGATACGTACCTCTCGGCGGCGTAAGATAGAGAGCGGTCTGTACAGTGTCTAACACGAATCTCGGTGAGACCGCCTTCGCTCCGATCGACTATAGCTCGGAGTAAGGAATCGACCTTATCCACAAATTCTGGATTCCACCAATTGATTGACTCGGGAAATGACTGAAATCGAGTTTCAAGATCGAAGATCGTGTTGAGTGACGGGTCATCGCATGTGTTCATCCAGGTCTTGCAGACCAGCATCGGTCCGATCCATCTTTGGTCCTGGCTCAGACGTGAGAAGATGTCGATGAGACATTCTTGAGTCAACTCAGCCCAATTTGGGATGAGTACAGATCCCATCTCTAGCCTTTCTCCGTCGTCGTTGACTTCCATTAAATAGAGAGAGCTTCGCTTTGAGTTATGCGTAAGATACTTATTTTCTTACATAATAATGTATGCTCACATACAACCTTATAATATTTTTTTTTTGGTTCAATTTTATCTTTTACAGTTGTTGTCAAATTTAAAACGAAAGAAATAAAGAAGAAACATATATCAACCCAAAACTATATCAATTCAGTCAGAAAAAACAAACTTTTTATTTATTATCTTATTATATAAACTTCAAACTTCACCTCAATTATTTTTTTTAACATTAATTTACACCAAAAAGAAAAAGTTGACCTCCTTCAAATTCTTCAAAGTCGAAGTATGGGTAGTAACACCAACGCTAGTCAAGTTCTTGCACCCGAACAAGTCAAGATACTCTAGTTTCGAACAAGCTTTGCAAAGATTGGCAAGACCTTTGTCGTTCAATGTGGAGAATCGAAGTTCTAGGTGCCTTAGCTGATGCATGTGTCTCCTAATATAACTAACTTGAAGATTCCCTAAAGTCATAATAGATGGTTTTTCCAGATAGTTACGAGGCACAAACCTTGTGTGCTTTAACTCCGTGATCTCTAAAGGATCCAACAAACTCCATTTCAGAATCTCAAGATTCTTGCAATTCGTGCCCAACATCTTTACACACTCGCAAGATATTTCGTACGAGCAGCTTATATCAAGTTCCTTTAGCTTAGGGCACTTTAAGGCTATGTCCCACATCGAATCGTATGTAACTTTAGGACAATACTTGACGCAAAGTACCTCGAGATTAGGACACCTATAAGTCAAATCATCGAACATGGCCCCAAGTCAAATGTTATATACCTAATTCGATCGAAACCATTCATTTTGATGGAACCACTTGATGGAAACGTGTAATATACGGAATCTCGAAACTTGCTATACGTACCTCTCGGCGACGTACGAGATAGATCGATTGGTACAATGTCTGACTCGAATCTCCTTGAGACCGCCTTCGCTCCGATCGACAACAGCGCGGAGGAGAGAGTCAATATTCTCCTCGAATTGTGGACCCCACAACCAGCTGTTCGAAGTGGGGAGAGACTGAAATGAGGTTCGAGATCGAAGACCGAGTTGAGACGGTCTTGCAGGCGTTCATCCACGTCTTGCAGACCAGCATCGGTCCTGGTAAATCTTTCTTCCATGTTCAGCCGTGAGAATATGTCGAGGAGACATTCCCGAGTCAACTCAGTCCAAGTCAGGGCCGAGTTCGGATGGACCCGATCCCATCATGTCTTTTTCTTCTTTTTGAAACACCTTGATCTCATCATGTTTTTTGTCTTTATTTTGAAACACCCTGATCCCATCATGTTGGAAATTGCTTGTCCCATCTGATCGACAACGAAAAAGAATCAATTGATTAGGAGTCTAGGAATCGTACAACAAAGAAGAAGATGAGTTAATTGTCTTAAAGGTTTAGCTATGGAATGTGTTGGCTTTTAGATTTCTTGTTTCTCAAGTTACCTTGTTGATAATTAGAGAGCTTGGTCGTTTCGATTCTTTAACTAAGAAGTTACGAATAGTCTTCTAATCAAGGTGAAAAGTTCAAATGTTTGGACCTTTTAGCTGATAAATTATTTGACGTTTAACCATTTTAGAACGTCTACCAATACTAACTTAAATACGTGGTTCCAAGTATAGTGTAATGAAGATTTCAACAAAAATCATAACAATTTCTCCAAATTCCTTTAAAATTGTTAAAATAATCTTATCAATATGCAAATCATTAGAAATTCAGTACTGAATAAATCTCCTTGGTTAAGTTCATTTCCAATAAGCATTGTTTTTTTCTTTGTAAAGAAACATATTAGTGGTATTTTTGCAAATTGTTTCTCAAGAAAACTCTATAACTACTATTTTTATTTTCTTACATAATTAAGCGATAGCTCTAATGGAGAAACAACATAAATATATTAGATTATAGCAAATTTTTTGTTGATTTTTATCTTTTACAGCTGTTGTCAAACTAAAATTAATCACAAACATAATCAGAAAAAAAAATAACAGCAAACTCTAATCAAAAGATATGTAATTTGAGTATTTTTGACTTTTTGAACTCAACCAAAAAAGAGAAAGTATGATCACAAAACATTATGAATTCAGTAGTCAAAGACTAAAGCTTCAAAATCTGGTTTCTTGATATCCTTCAAATTCTTGAGAAGTGAGATACTGTTAGTAACACCATCGCTAGTCAAGTTCCGACACCCAAACAAGTCCAGATACTCTAGACTCGAACAAGCTTTACAAAGTCTTTCAAGAGCTATATCAGTTAGCGTGGAGAATCGAAGTTCCAAGTGTTTCAGCTGACGCATGTGTCTCACAACCGTATAAACATCAACATTCCCTAAAGTCATGGTTCTCATGATAGATAGATCCTCCAAATAGGTATAAGGCACCGACCTCGTGTGTTCTAACCTCTCCACCTCTGATGGATCCATCGTATTCCGTTTTAGAATCTCAAGATTCTTGCAGTTATTACCAACCATCTCCATACAATCGCATGATATTTCAAAACTTATATCAAGTTCCTTCAGCTTTGGACAGTTTAAGGCTATCTTCCTCATCGACTCAACCGTAACTCTTGGGCTATACTTAATCCAAAGTACCTCAAGATTAGGGCACCTGCAAAATGAAAATCTCTTTTAAAACTTTGCCCTAGATATCACTTTATTATATTCAGCATCAAAATGTAACGTACTAGTTCGATCAGAATCATGCAATTTACTGAGACTTACCTCTCGGCAACGTAAGAGATAGATTGATTCGTACAGTGCCTGGCTCGAATCTCTGTTAGACCTCCTTGGCTCTGATCGACAACAGACCGGAGCGTTGAGTCTACTTTAGCCTCGAATTCGGAAGTCCACAAGTTGATCGATTCCGGGATCGACAGAAATTGAGTTTCAAGATCGAAGATTGTGTTGAGTGATGGGTCTTGGCATACGTTCATCAAGGTCTTGCAGACCAGCATCGGTCCATTCCATCTTTCTTGCATGCTTAGCCGTGAGAAGATGTTGAGGAGACATTCCCGAGTCAGCTCAGTCCAGTCAGGACCGAGTCCCGATCCCATTTGATCAAGAAGGAAGATATATTTTATGAGGAAGAAGATTGCGAGCCAAGGCACTGAAAATGATGGCTACGAGTACCTTTACAGCAAAGAAGAAGAAGGTGAATTCAACGAAACAGAGTAAGAAACAGAGCAAAACATATTGCTATGTCTAGAACAGAGTAAATCATATTTTCAGAATTCATGTTTCTTTAACTTACCTTGTTTTATATTCAGAAATCAAATCTACGTTTCTCGCTTTTTCAATCACCAAATCCAACAAATCTCCAATTTTCCTCCGTTGTTGACTTCCATTAGACAGAAAGCTTCTTCCTTTTGATTATTGAATGAGGAGTTTGAATAGTCGTTCTTCAGACCAAAAATATGTTTTGACTTTTCTTCTAAGAAATTTTCAAATAAAATGTTTTGACTTTTCAGCTGACAGTTATTTTACGGTTGACAAATATTTTTACAAGTAGTCAATCAAATATCAAATATGTACATGATTATTTTGAAGGTTCCCATAAAAATCTTACATTTTCTCGAAAGTCATCCAAAATCATTAGAATAATCTCAAAAAGACAAAAACTATCAAAGGTAGAGTGGTTATGCCATATAAAGAGAGAGCGAGTAAGAACATCCAACAAATGAGAGCGCTTCTGTAATCACCAAATTTGGATTTAAAGGATAATATTGTCACTAAGACAAGAGTTGTCATATGTTGGACATATGAAAGTTATGACTTTCTAACTCAAATCAAATCTGATATCTATATACTTGAATCTAATCATATACTGTTATATAACCCTTAAAGCATATGTGCACATTGGGCTAAATCATCATCTCAAATCTCAATCCTACTTCAAATTCTTATTTGAAACAACCTCAAACACTTAAAGCCACTGGATCTTGCCACGTCACCTTCCTCTTCACTGCTCTGTTCAACTCTTTCTCCACGTCTCTGCAAATCGGCAACTTCATTTCGCAATGTAGATCATCCATTCCATTACCAAGCATTGCCTTCTTTGTTGCTGCTCCGGCCACCATTTGTTCACCGTTCACTTCCGGCTCCTCTTCTTCTCTCTACAACCAAAAAAGCCAAAAACCCACAAATCAAGCTGTGATCAGTCTCTAAATTCTCAAGACTCTAAACAAAAGGAAGAGACTTCAAAACATAAGAAGTTGGTTTGACTTTACCGAGATCTGGTTTAGGTCAAAGCCCGGTTCTTTGTTGACGGTAACAGAAATGTTCCCATCTTCGTTAAGATCAGGAATCGGAATTGAGTTTGTCAGAACCTCGTTTCCCCTGTTCCTTTTTGACTTCTTTCCCAAGTCACATCCTGCATTATCACCCAATGCTTCCTTCTCATTGCAAATTGTATTCTTCTGCTTCAAATCAGAACATGGCGCAGATGCTCTCGGAGCAGAGTTCTTCTTTCTTTTGAGACTTGGTTTAATTGGCACCTTCAAATCCCCAGACTCTGACAATCTCAACATCTTCGGATTGGTTTCAGGAATCTGGTCTTGCTTCAAGTGTTTGTATCTACGTCTCAAGAACCTGTCGTTTTGATCAAAACACTCATTAAGCTAATCAATGTACCAAACAAGCCAATTAAAGGTTTGATTTTTACATGAAGATGAGAGATTATACCTAACTTCTGCGTCGAGGGTCAATCGTTTCTGTTTCATCATCTCCAATTTCCTCATCTTAAACTCTGTTTCCTGAGAGAACAAAAAAAAGATTCAAAGCTTTTTTCTAATTGGTTTCTCCAGGAGAGTCAATTCAACAATTTCCAAATCCAGATTCATGATTGAACAATAAGAACAACCAAAACTGAATCGTATCAAATCACCAGATCTAGAGGAAATCGAAACAAATTAGGAACCCAGAAATCTGAATTACCTCTCGCAAGTCCTGATATTCCTGCATAAGGACTCGATGATTGTGCCTGATCCTGGGATCGACGAAATCGGTAATCTCCTTCATCGGATCCGCTCAGTGAAATCTGGGAATCGCAGAAACAGAAGAGCAAGAGAAGAAGTGGAGAGGAAGAGAGATGTGAAAGAAGCGAAGAGTCGCAATAGGAGAAGAAAGAAGGAAGAGAAGGCAAAAGGGATTAGGTTTAATGGTGAAAAACTCTGACCAAAGACTTAAGAAACCACAAAGAAGCCACCACATAATTGATGTTTGATTTTGGGTGCCCATTAGATTTTGGATTGAAATTAAAATGAATTTGGATTTTCCTTTTTTCTTTTCTTTTTTGTTTTGTTTGCGAGAGAGAGTCTATGAGAACAGACCAGACAAGTAGCAGAAAACTAGGAGTAGTGATCAACATGAAAAAGGAAGATTGAAAGAAAGAAAAGAAAAGAAAATCGAACTTTTTTATTTTCTTTGTTGTTTTTACTTTTTCTATGGTGTGGCCTTTTGGTAGTTGCAGAAGGGCATTGAAATGCTGACCAATAAAGTTTCTCTCTTTTATTGTGTTTATGATTTCAGCATTATGATCATGTCTTTGTGAGGTGGGATTCGATAATTGGATAAGGATTTGAATTAAATGAAAATCACACCTGGGCTATTGAAGAGGTTAGGAGTTATATATTGTTGGATATGTATGAGAGAAATTTTGAGCTAGAGAAGATAGGAGCCAACAAAAAAAAAAGTTGGGTTGAGGAAACAAACAGTGAAACAGGAGAAGAAGAAAACTATGGAGATTGAAAAGAGAAACGACTGGTGTGGTGTGTATATATATTTATAGTATGTGTGTATATTTTTGCCTAATGTGGATGGTGCCACATGTATCATTTTTGGACCCATCCTGAGAATCTGACCATTATACCCTTTTCAGTCAACCTCAATATCAAATTTACGGTGACTAATCAAATTTAATTTTAGTTACATTTTTTTCCCTTTTTGGAGTACATGTTTGTTCAGTTTCAAATTTAATCATGTAATTTGTTCTCTTTAGTTTTTTAATATGTTCTCTTAAATAATTGTGTCAGTTAAAACAAATTAATTATGCTAATCGCTTTATTAAATATCGTAGTATGATTTGAGTTTCCAGTTTTTCTTAAAAGTAGTAAGAAAGCCAATAATGTTTTCTACACCATTAAAACAGGTCTATTTCAGTTAATTTTAGTATGTGAGACTTAAACTCGTTGATGTTGAACCTGAAATTTTAAAGACTTGTAACCTCATTGTACAAATCGTAAGGTAAGTGTGCATACAAGTCTTCATTTAGTTTCTCTTAGATCGTTTGCTTTACTTTTATCATAATTATTATTAATATCAAATGTTTGACTAGAAATATTGCTTTCAACAATATTACAGAATAAAGAAAAACAGTTTGATATTGTTTTAAATTTTAAATTCTAAAATTTCAAAGTTATACATAAATCATGTATGAGGCTTCTTTGGACAAGGGTAACCGCAAAGACATTGTCCAGTACCAGCATCGCGATCACAGAAGCCATTTGCATATGGTCCAAACATCGTCTTGCATGAACCGCTACAGTCTGGAATTGTGGCACATGGGCCAATAACTTGTCCACATCCCATATTCTGTTCAACTATAAAACCACGTTTGTATTTTAAATGACGAAAAAACTAATAAAAATCACTACATTAAACTATAATTTTTTTTTTGTATGTCAAGAAACAGAACCGAACTAAAAGTTATAGAGGCAAAAGCCCAACATAACAATAAACTACAACATTTGGGGGATGTACGAATGAGTACAACCAAAATCAATGTTTTTAAAAAAAATGTTTTGTCATTTTTTTTTTCTGTTTGAGTATATACTTTTATGAACAAATGTAAAAATAAATGTGTACCTAAAGATAACATGATAAGGAAGATGATAGGAAGAACAAGTGAAAAAGCTCTTTTGGCCATCTTTTTTTTTCCTCTTAAAATTAAAATACTGATATTGTGATTTTAGTTGACAGATGCGAGAAACTGAGACTATTAAGAGGGGATTTATAGTTTGTGAGATGTCAAGTTTCAAAATTACCATTATTATCCATTATGTTTTTGATCAATATTGTTTGACTATAGTATTAATATGGAAGTCTATCTATACCCTGTTGAATATTTTTGGTTTTGACTTTTGAATATAGCATTTTGGTAAGATTTGAGGTTCTCTAATTTGGTAGATTTGTTTTGAATATAATATTTTCATAACTTGTCAAATTGATGATGGAATTTTGTCTCTCTCTGTTTGTGTTCATCTGTTAACTCGACCTTTAAGTTATGAATTCTTTAGAAGAGAAAACGATAATGATTAAAGTAATTAATGGAACATCAGTTGTTAAACCCAAAATAGTTATCGATATGCTCAATATATTTTGGATAGTGTTGTTAGCAAGGAAACGCGGGTAAAATTCTTCATTTTTTTTAGGATTTAGTTGTTTTTTTCAATTTGAATGTTTATCAAAAAGTCCAATAGTATTTTTTTATTTTTGTATATCGAGCAAAGCAGAAAAAACTAGAGCTCTGTTCTCTGACGAATCAAAGAGAGATATTTGAACCCTTGTACTTCTTTCAATCAATATCAACAATTCCTCGAATGCTCTCAAATCGTTTTGTTGTTTCCAAATTGCGGAAATGAATCGAGCTTTTAATAAAACAAGAAATGAGGAATCTAATCTGGTGCTTCTAGGGACATTTTCTCTTACTCTATTTTTTAGGTTACTAAAGTAACTAATAAGATCTTGGAAGCTCTTTCCCGGCCAAGAAGGACCTGAAAAGAACGAGAGCACGCTTCGGTTCGAATAAAGGCACCTCGTGCCCAGCCCCTCTTACTGTTGCAAAGGTCAGTCCCTTGTAAACCTCCGTCCATCCTCCCACCTGTCCACAGCCAATTAACATCACTGCCTTGTCCATGACACATATATACCATCCATGCACATTCATGTATGTATTTATATCATACCTGCTTATCGGAGTACCAAGGGTACCAACGTGTTTTCACCGGAAGATTGAGATGGCTTAGAGAAAACCGTGTCGCAGTCACTGGAACCACCGAGTCTGTATCACCGCTGCACATATCATTATAGTCCATTGTTTTGTTAAGTACCTCAAAAATAGTGAGTCTTAGTTTTAATATGTCCCTGTCTATGACTTGTTTACCTGAAAATCCATATCCTTAAACCAGCCGCTGCAAGTTCCTTGTAAACCGGCAACATCGTCTTGTCAGAGTCTTTCCAGTTCTTGATCAAAGCATCACTGTAACATTTTTTGCCGACAAGAACAAGAACCCATTATGTTCAGGAACATTAAGCAAATCATTAGTACAGTGAAGAGCGAAGAGAATTACCTGCAAGCTGTCCATTTATAGCGAATCCCAGTGACATTAGCGTGCATGGCTCTCTGAACGTCGCGACGGTTGTAATACTTCTCTGCGTAACTCTCCGTACAAGGATCGTACCCTGACACTAACCGTCGACGCAAGAGTGTGTTCTTCATCCGTACAAAGGGACCGGTCTTGGTCTTGTTCTGTTTTGAAGCCACGCACGTTGGGGTGTAAATGCTGTACTGGTCGATGTCACCGAACTCGTGGTTCATGGCGTAGTTGACGGCGGTGTCGCAACCGTCGGAAACACTCTCCGCAGTGAAGTTGCAGTGTTTGAGAATTGACTTGTAGGTTTTGTCGGAGATGATTGCGTGGGTCCACCAGTAAGTCACTGTTCCTATGCTGTCGTACTCATTGTCCGTTACTGCGTTTCCCACCTTGAGAAAGTAAGGATTGTAGTTTTTCGTTAGTTCACGAATTGGACCTATATTTTAGAATTGAGCTAGATAGACCCTTTTGTATTTTTTTTTACTATTAGTTACCATGAATCCTTTGAGATTGATGATTGGTTTGGAGAAAGCTTTGTTGTAGTCATGTATCTTTTTGGCAAGCTGTGGAACATAATGCCCTGTCCAAATAATAACATACATTGAAAATCATCAAAAAGACCCCAAACAACAAGAAAAGTTAAAATATTTTGTTTTTTCTTGAAATAATGTTTGACTGAAATCAAAGTCAAATCAAAATTTTTTGATTCTTATTTTGATCAGGTAATTCTGAATTGAATTAGTCTAATTATGCAATAACATACCGGCGTAACTTTCACCAGCAATGTAGAAGTCTCTGTATTTGTATTGAGGAAATCTCGCTAACCATTTGATAAGAAATATCAAACTGTCTTGTGCTGTGATACAGAATGTAAGCCACGACATAAACAATTTATTCTCAAGCAAAAATAAGAATAGAAACTGATAATGCTGCATGCCGTTTTATGAGTGATTGATAGATTATGAACTAAGAAAATGGATCAAACCTGTTCGCTTGTCTCCGGAATCTTTAAGATCGGAGCTTGTGTTTGTGTATGAAAATCCAACTCCGGCCGGTGATTCCAGAAACAGAAGGTTTGCATCTGTTATCGTTAAGATTTAGAAAGCAAAGTTTAGTTAAAATGCTATTTCGAAGCCCCAAAACAATAACTAATTGGATTGTAATTACCTTTGTTCCAAGAAAACTTGTTGAGAAAGAGACTGGAACTGGTTTTGTTGATGCGGAACGGTCCAATCTCCTCCGAAGCTCCATAAGCAATCGACGAGCAGCCTGGTCCTGTGGATTTTCAACAATTAATATACAAATGAGAGCAACTCTTATGTTATAACATGTGGCCATATAATTTATACATAAAATTCTCCATCTCAAATATTTATCTACTAATTTCTATCACTCTTCTTGATTTTGTTAAACAAAAGTTGATGAACTTTCGAGAAGTTGGTTAAAAAAAAAACAAAAAAACTTTCGAGAAGTTCCAAGTTGAATGTTCATGCATGATCCAATTTTCTTCCTACCAATGATTAAATTAAATAAATAGCCCAATGGCCAAAAATTCAAAAGAATATTCGATGACGCCTATATTTCTGGACCCGCGCGTCGTCATAGAAATAAATAAAAGTACAAAACTAGAAAAAAATGTGAAAATAC